ATTCTATGATTCTATGATTCTAAGATAGGAGACATAGGATAGCCAGACTGTGTGAGCTGAACTGTCATGGGTGCCATTAGAGTGCAGGAGCAGTTTGATTTACTGAACTTACCTCTGTCATTTCACCTTGGCTTGCTTCGTAACTGCTACTGGTTCTTCATCCACAGCTGCAATCCCATGGGCATATCCCATGAACAATGTGGATTACTCTTATTTGTTCCTAGTTAACTGAATTATTTAAAACTTGTATGTAGTGAATAGGCATAATCTAAAATGTTCTTTCCTGGGACTATGTAGATTCTATTCCCACTCTTGAGGGGTCATTTGGCAGCTCATGTTTGAGCTCACTATAAGTAGAAGATGGAAAGGAATTCTTACTCTTCCCTTGCCCATGAGGGTGTAGCTGTGGAAGATGTTATTATTATTACAATTACTATTAGAATTGATAGGAGGAGAAGGAAGGTCCTTGGGTTTGTCATATGAAAATCATATAATGGTTTTAGGAGACTTTCTATGAATGGATTAAATAAGGATTTAACTTTAAAAAAAAATCAAATTTGTAAAACGTGTATGAATGTCAAAATGTGCAGTAATCTATAGTAATAATTTAGGTAGATTAGAGAGGTGATACATTGGTATTTCCCATTCATATTTAAGGAACTGAAAAGAATGACTTAAAAAAAAGAAAGAATTAAGCCTGAAAGTGGAGAAAGGAGGATGGAAAATCTGGAATTTTGGAGAGTAATTCAAGCATTGCAGATACTCAGACACAGTTAGTAGGCTGGAATGTACTTCAGATAGAAATATATTAGGTGTTGATGTAACTCTCTTCACTCAGAGTAGTCTTTTAATGCCATTATATGAGGCCTTGTTCTCCCAAATGTACTTGGGTACTTCATGCCATGCTTTAGGTCATGCAGTACTACTCCTGTTTTCATGCTATTGGGTATTGCTCTGGCAGGCTGCAAATGGCTATTTTTGAACTAAGAAACACAACCAAAAACTGACTTACGGATGCCACACAGAGCCCCCAAAAGGCCTGAACCAAACATTTTCTAGTAGATACATAGTTAGTCCTCTTATGAGGCCAACAGCTTCAGCAAAGTGGCCATGAGCTTGTCAGCTAGAGGTCAGGATTCTTTCTGTGCTGTAATCCACAGAATATATGCTTGTGTAAACTCTCAGTAGATAAAAGGGAAATTGAGGAACTTACACACTTACAAAGTTTCCTGGAAGTTTGTATCTTCAAAAATCCTACCTATTTATTGAAATCTGTTTTCAGGATATGGAGTAAGAATTAAGTTAAACAGTAGGGCAGTGAACAGCTTCCTTTTCTTCAACAACAAAAAGTGTTGTAAGAAATTTTATTTGCTAGTTTTTATCTAGATAGTTATGAAACATTAGACAGTTTTATAATTCTAATTTTACAATTTAATGCAAATGTAAGCTAAAAGGAAAAATAAACAACCAAAATGTGTTTTCCTACTGTAACATATACATTTATGAGACCATATTTAAGCAACTGCTGAACTACGTTATTCTGGTTGGCAAAAAGGAATGCAGAATCTGATGTGAATACATTTTGCATGGAAAGTGAACAGGAGAGCTACTTCTTAAATTTATGTATGAGAGTTGTAGAAGCTTGGCTGAAACACTCTGTGATGGTTTCCAAATTTGAGTTCTTGTCTGCAAACACAATTTCTTAACTGGACTTTAACTTTTATTTGACATCTATTGACTGTCATGTTTCTGTGATGTATTAAAATGAACTTAGTATAACTTAGCTAAAACAGGCTTTTACCAGCATGTTTTTGTGTACTGTAACAGTTACCTGTGATGTAAAGGGAGCAAGGCAGAGCCTGGAATCCCTTTCTGGCAGCCCAACATCACACCGACAGCTCAGCAGTCCTCCAATGATCATGTTACAGTAATTTGGCCATGGTGAAACACAGAGTGATGGTTGAGGAGAAATTTGTTAACAGCCAGTAGCAACTGGAGGATCAGTGGAGATGTTGATAGGTTTGATCATGTTTGTGTTAGAGGAAAGAAATTAGAAGACATGCAGCAGAAGAATGGCAGCAGTACGAGACAGTCTTGGGTTAGGGAGCCAGGAACTTGACTCTTGGTCTGAATAGAGCTCTTGATAGTAGACTTACTAAACCATATATACTCTTTTAGCTCTAGCAGTTTACAGCTTTCTTCTGTGTGGTTTTTAATTTTGCCTGTAACACCTCCTAGGGAAAACGCCCAGCTGCTGAAGATGGGCAATAAGAAGAGAGTTTTGTTGCTCGGATCTGGATATGTTTCTGGCCCTGTGCTTGAATATCTCACTAGAGATTCCAATGTTGACATCACAGTTGGTATGTAAGACTTTGCTTGCTTTCAATTGAAAAATTATGTCTTATTTAAACCTGCTAGCATGGAAGAACCTTTTTCATAAATAGTGGATGGATCTGGTTCTGAGAACAGGTGACGAAAATCCTTACTATGCACAGAAGAAAAGGTTTTTATAGCTTTCTAAGCATTTTGAGTTTGTATAATCAATTTGAAAATTACATGGGCATGTTAAGAATTTACTGTTTGCATGTGTAACCTATAGGGAAATTAGATGCATTTTTCCTCTAACCTGCTTTGGGCTTGGGATTGGTTTTGTGGCTAGTTAGTCACTTCTGTTGGTGCTTGGCTGTTTTTTCAGCCTCACACAACAAGAAGACGAAATTGTTTTTATGGACATTTGCATGTCTGAAGCCTCTGCTGTTGTTATAACCAGTATTGTGGTGTTAAACCCTCAGACACTGACCTTCCCACCAGCCCCATGTGCCTGCTTGTTCATTCCTCTGTTTTGGCTTTATCTGTAGCATATTTTAGGCTGAGCATTTCATAAACACTTTTCTTTACTGTCAGTGATGACTTTACCCTGATTCCGTGGTTTCGGATTTAAAACTGAGGCTGTATTGCCTGGAAGATACTTTGTTGGGAAGTGGTTTCCTTTAAAACTTACCATTGTATTTCTGTATATTTTGTTGTTGCTTTGGTTTGTTTTTTCCCTTCATACTACTTTCATACTTGGCTGCTTTTGGTACCCTTTGTGGTGATAACCATAGTACTTTTAACCCCTGGGAAACGATTTACTAGGAGGAAGAGGAGAACTCTTGAGGAAGCTGCACCCATCTTGTGGGCAGTGCCTGATATGGTGAACAGGGAAGGATTACAGCAATGTGCAGTGTCCATCCCCTCATCAGTATGGAGGCTGCATCTAGTCCCTGCAGTACAGCAGCAGTAAGGGAAACCAGATGAACTGGAGGATCTGTTTTGCCAAGCACTGAGCAACATTGCAGGTGCTTCTTGCCTGGGTAGCTTAAAACCAAGAAGTTACTACAGCACACAAAAAAAAATCAGAAGGAAGGAGACATGATCATGTTACTTGTCTAATATTTGGCAGCAAGCAGGTAGACAGAAAAGCATAAAATGCACTTCACAGTGCCACCTTTACTTTCCCTGCTGTTAGGCTACACCACTTCAATTCCAAATGACAAAAATCTTAATTGGGAAACCTTAATGTAATAATTTTTTGTTTGTTTGTTTTAATTTGTAGACAATTTTGCTTAGCTCTTTTCTCTCAGCACAAGTTGATTACTAGGGTACAGAAAATCACCCTCTGGCAATGTTTAGTTCCCATTGACTTTGGAAAGGCCATAAGGAAATAAGGCCTTAAGTTAGAGGCACAGATGCTTTTAATTCTCTAAGCCTGTGCTCCACCTGCTGCCTTCACTGCCCACTCCTGGCTGTGTTCCCATTGCTGTCCTTGTGCTGGCAGTGTGGTGAGCTGGGACAGGAAGCCAATGCACTTCCAGACAGATGTGATAAAAACTGATTGCATTAACATGAATGTCATTTTCAGTTCTGCTTTCCTTAAAATGGTGAGTATCAATGGCAGTAGCAGCAAAGTAATAGGAAGGAACTAGTGGAGGTAGGCAGAGACTGGATTTCTCCCTTTTAGTGAACATACATATGTATATATATATATATATATATAGGCATGTGCAGGATTTATTTAATTTATGCCCAATTTCAGCTGTTAGTGAAGGAAAACATCCATGCAACTGTTTCTCTTTGGAAAGAAGGAGGTGTGTGTAAAGCACAATTATAAATGAGAGTGTTTTGGACTTACCTTCATCTTGAGGTAACAGTTAATGTGTTTTGCTTTTAAAACAGCGTCTGTCATGAAGGAACAACTTGAACAACTGACGAAAAAATACAGCGGCGTTACTTCAATTCATATGGATGTCGTTAAGCATGAGGACAAGCTGTCCTCTTTGGTGAAGAAACACGACCTTGTGATCAGGTCAGAATTCTGTGTAGAACATGATAGGCTCAACCCTGAATCATACTGCTACTTTCTCCTGGTTCACTGACTTAAATCAACATGGTAACTTTTTTTCTTAATGCCCAAGAAGTGGGGTCGTATTTGTGTATGTAAATAGCTGTAAATGACCACTGCCTTTTCATGTAGCGAGGTGTCAGGGCTTTTGAAGGGGCTTTGACTGCAACATCTCTTTAGAAATGTTCACCAGTTACATGGACAGCCTTGTTAGTGTGAGGGGCCAGTTGTATCCAGCACTGTATGTGTTCCTAGGATCAAACGCACATGTTGGCAGGAGGAGGCAATATTCTGACATCTTGGTCACTTCTCCTGAACATGCCATTAAGAACCATCCCTTTCCCGGTATTAAAATAGGGGAGGAAATGACTTCATGGTCCTTGATATTTTGTCCCTTTGGCCACGGATTCCATGAGTGTTGTTTCCTTTCCATGTAGAGCATGCATTTGACAAAGTGCTTCAGCAAGATCATTGTAATGTAAGCTTTATCAAGGATGGTTTTACAGTTTTGCATCTTCTAAACTTCCAGCATGCCTGCTTAGAAGGTGGCCTTGAAAAGAGGTCAGTGGTTTGTTTTTTACCAAGAGAAGTGTGACAAAAGATGCTGTCTAAAGAATGACTCCTGTGCTGTCCTGCGCCCTGTTCTGAGTGCATACATCAGTGCTCTTCTGATAGGTTAGCATTTCACTTATGTAGGTGTGAAACTGCTCAGGGCAAGGCAAGTATGACTGTTGCATTTACTTGAGCTCTTTTGTAGGCATACAAAAAACATCTGTGAGCGTCTTTCCAGTGACAGCATAAGTAACGGGATTTTGTTGTTGTGTGATTCTCCTTCATTTTTAGTCTGCTGCCTTATTCAGTACACCCTTTGGTGGCTAAGAAATGTATTGACAACAAAGTGAACTTGGTAACAGCCAGCTACTTAACACCAGCTATGAAAGAACTCCAGGAGAGGTAGGTGTGAGAGTAACATCTCCCTGGTGTTGCTTCCTTCTTTAGTGCATTATCTGAATATTTTGCAGTCCCTTACGCCTATGGTGCTTAATGTGAATTGCTGTTTCCTGCATTCTTTTTCCTTCCCTTTCTATGATGGAGGGCTAAGTCCTGTTTCCCAAAGCTGCATGTGAAGGCTGTGGCAGAGCAGAGAAAGGAGTGCACACAGCAATCTGGTCAGACAAGTACTCTAAACCCTGAACAGACTTTCCTGCATGACTCATCTTATTCCATGTTAATGTGCCTTTCCCACTTCCCTCAAACCTGTTAGGATTTTGAACTTGGCTAATATTCAAGCAGTTCTGTCACACTTTCAAAACAAACAAACAAAGACACTTCTCATTTGTCAAAACAAAGTGATTTTGAAAATAAATCGCCTCAGCTTGTAGCATAAGTGAGCTGCTCTGGGAGTGCAGGCAACTGTTAAAAAGCAAAATGCTTTTAATTTGGAAAAGAGGCCTTTCAATCTCTCTCCCTTTCAGGAGTTGTTTAGGGCAATTACGAGTAGCTCTATGCTGCCTTCTGCATTACCACCGTCATTACAGTACTGTCCAGGAGAATGTGGGGTGTGGAGTAGATAGTAAGCCACCAGTAGATGGTGGCTTTTTCCACCAGCCCTTAGATGTTGCAGCAAAGTAAGAGAAACCAAGGCTACAGCGACTCTTGGACAATTGCCACTCATCAGTTTTTAACATCTACTTCTGTTTTTTACCAAAAGCTACAGGCAGAGCCCAGAATTTGCTGTGCTATGGAAAGTGCACTGGGCCTTTGTTGGACAGATTTCCTGAAGAAAAGGCCAATAATTGTGGCTATTCTGACAGCTCTGCATTTCTGTTACTTTTAGTGTAGAGGCTGCTGGTATTACAGTTATCAGTGAAATGGGTTTGGATCCTGGTCTTGACCATATGTTGGCGAAGGAATGTATTGACAAAGCCAAAGAAGTTGGTGCTACGGTAAGGTTGGCAGGTAGTGCAATAGTTCTGCCAAGATTTTGTTAGTAAAGTTGTTCCTTTGACACCAGACACTTTCTGGGCGTGTCACTGATGTGTAACAGACTCTGGACACTTTTCTTCCTCTGATGCTTGGAATTTGGTGCCAAGTGATCCAATTTGTGAGACCATCAACTGAGATGCCTTTGCCCCAGTGTATGTTTTGATTTCCTCTCCTTTATGGACATTGCCTGTGGTGTGACAACTTGGCACTGTTGCTCAGTGAAATTCTTTTTATTTCCCCTGTACATCTTCTGATTTGGCCAATTCAGAGGCAGATGTGCACAGAAAGTTGAAGAACTGATGGGGATTCTGCAGGGTATCTCTGTTTGGTTTGCATCCTGATCTGTCTTCTCCTCATTGTTTCTTTCCTGTGGATGAATGTGGCAGGTTGTATCCTACACCTCTTTCTGCGGTGGCCTACCAGCTCCAGAGCACTCTGACAATCCTCTGAGATACAAGTTCAGCTGGAGCCCACAAGGAGTGTTGCTGAATACAGTTCAGTCTGCTACATATTTAAAAAATGGAGAGGTGAAGTAATTCTAAGATTTCCATTTAAAGCCAGACAAAGAAGGTGGTATTGGGCCGAGGAGGGAATTGGGATTTGTAAGGTGCTATGTTTACTTTCAAGCCAGTGAGAGTCAGTTGCCTAAGCAAGTTGCATACATCACTTAATCCTGTGTTTGGAGCATGATGGTTCCTGGCTGCCCCCAGCTTAATTCCTTCTTACTGTACAGAAACTGTTTGCAAAGGAGTGTGTTCTAATGACTGAAGTACTGGGCTGAGGCTGGTGTTTTGGGTTCAGCTTCCACCCCTGTTGTGTGTTGCTTCTGCCACTTAATTGCCCTGTCTTTGGTTCTGAAACAAAGGTGAGAGTGCATCCTTCTGCTTGCTTTTCTGTCTAGTCGTGTCTGTAAACCAGACAACTTCACTGTGTACTTCCACATTGTATAGCAGAATTCTTGATTGATTTTCTTTTGGTGCAATCTGTAATACTAATAACCCACTGAGTGGGTTTTTTAAAAGCATACGGTGCTTTCTGATGTGCTTTATATAAGCTCTATTTTGCTGTTTGTGCAGGAGTCATTAGACTTAACCTAGCAAATGTCACTGCATCTGTTTTATGGAAAGATCATACCTGATTTGTGCAAAGCTATTGCAAGCTGCTATCGTGTTTCTGATTTCCAGTCCTACCTTTTTGATCACTCCTACTTGCTCAGAATAGTTACTGAACAGGGGCTCTTCAAATGTCAAAGAGACTGCCTTGTATAACCACCATAAAGTTTAACTAATTATCTAAACTTTTGATGTGCAATACTGAGAAATCGTTTGAGATGTTTTTTATCATGACATTTTGGTGCTTTAGAGTTCTTATTGCTGTAAGAATGGAGAAATTCAGGGGCTGTACACGGGATCATTATTATAAAGCAAAAGCACATAAGTTTCAGACGAAAGGATCTCTTGGAGAATGTGAAAATGTTTCTTATTTAATTCTGACCTAGTTCACCCATTGCTAGGAAAAATTAGATCATGCATATGAATGATTCATTATGAGAGCACTATGTGAGCTTGTCAGTAAATTGTGCAAGTTTTCCTTCTTGCTACTAAATCCTGAGTTGTCTTTGACTGGTGTGCAGGATTCTTCCACACTAGTGTCTTGCCTGACAAATACAGTAAGATCTTTCAGCATTGCTGCAGACTTCATTGCTATAGTCTGTCTTCTGGAAGGAAACCTTGCCCTTTTGCCCAGAAACCACAAAATGAGTTTGAATTGATGCTGTGTAGCAGATCTGTGCATCAGCTGCTTGAGAGAAGCAGGGTTCAAGACTTTGGCTGGGAGTGATAATAGAGCTAGTCAACCTTATTTTGTTTTCCTTAAACAATGTGTGTCTCTGTGCTTTGTAGCTGCAAGTGAAGTTGCACATGGGCAGCAATTTTATCAGTGAGGTATCACCTGATTTATTTCAGTCTTTATAAAAAGAAACCCCAAAACCCCATCCTTCTCTTTACATCTGCCTTCTCTTCCCCCATAAAAGAAGAGAATAAAAAAAATGACCAAAAAGCAGGGAGCCTATGGACAGAATCTCCCTTCACACTGCTGTAGTTTGGGGAAGTGCTCCAAAATTACACTAATGCAAGTGCAGTTGGAACCTGCCACCTTAATATAAATGCAGCATGAATTAACAGTGTGTGTGAGAAGGCTTTGGCTTGGTTTAGCCTTTGGCTAGTAGTGGCTGACAGAATGCGTGCTCCTCCATCACAGGATGTGCTTAAATGGCTTACGCAGCTGCTTTGTTTAGAGTGGGCCTTGGCTTGCACCAGAAACACTAAGCATATCGTTCCCTTTTTGAGCATACTTCCATCTTTTCTGTTGTAAAATAAATTAAATAACACTGCACCAAAATAATATTGCTGTTCTTTCACGAAATTTAGATGATCAATATTCCAGCTGGAGGGGCATTGCTTGACTCTGTTACTCCGATGGATTTTTTCCCAGGATTAAATCTCGAAGGTTTTCCTAACAGAGACAGTACAAAATATGCTGAGCCATATGGTATTCAGACAGCTCACACTTTGCTGAGAGGCACCTTAAGATACAAAGTAAGTTGTTGTTCTTGTTGTTATGACTAATTATAATTTTCTTCAAGAGATAAATGTTATCATTTCAAGAAAACCGTATATTTAAAAATCAGCCTTTTATAGCTTTGTATTTGCTATTTATGAGCTCTCCACTATCCTATTTGAGAGATAACTGAAAGCACTTCTCTCAATTTTTTAAATGTGGCTTTACTTGATTTATTTCACAGGTGTTTGCTGCAAACCAGAAAAATACTTTTACTTGATTTAGGCAGCTTGTCAGTTGGCATGCATAGTCTGTATCTATCTGTTTCTTTATTTCTCTGGCTCTGTATTTGTTGTCAGACCAACAGAAGACATTACAACAATACACATCACACAAACCTGTTATGTATTTTTAAGACTTGATCTATTCTCTTACATGTGATAAGCAACAAACTGTAAGTTCAAATTTTTATATTCCTGTGAAAAACACACTGTACAAATCTTACAGAAAACTGATTTTCCATTAGAAATTTTTTAATGAAGTAACTGTAAATCTTGAATTTGAATAGCTATAACGTTTTGGTCAGTTAAGTAAAATGTTAAGAGATAAATAGTTTTCCTTCTAACTGATACACTGTTTTCCTTCCATTCGTTAGGTGTAAAAAGCAGATATTTTCCTTCAGCTATTTTTTAATTATTATTTTGTTGGTCAATATACATTAAGAAGCAGTAAACCTTAAACCATATTGAAGGTTTAAAAAAGCTTTTATGGGTGTCATGTCTATTGAGTTAAGGTTTGTGTCAAGGTTTAAGTTATTGTTGTTTTGTATATGGCTTGAGGAATGTGTGTGTCCTTTCCCTCTTAATTCCTCTCTTGCAATACAACAGGATTTTTCCTTTATTTCTGGGAGGGAGGCTTGCTTAGCAAAAGAAGGTGGAAGGCCAATGTAGGGGAATAAAGGTTACAAATTGCAATAGCTCTCTCTTTGTCAGTCTAGATACAATCTCTTGTTCAGAAGCTAAAAATATGTGGAAGGCATCTATCTTGTCATGAAGCCTTAATATGACTCTTCCATATGGTGCCTGGTAAAAATCTCTCTTTTTGTATAGCTGTTAGCACAAGGAAAACCGAAAATGTCAGTGTGACATAAGAGTTGTTATCAGTGTGCTCCAGGAGTGATGTTTCTGTGGTTAGTTTTGTTTCTTAGCCCCCAGGCCAGGCCCATCCCTTTGGGCTGGGGTGGCGCTGGCTGGGCTGCGTGCCGTGCCTCTGCCCGCGGTGCCTGCACGCCAGGAGGCGGTGCTCAGCAGGGCTGGAGCTGAGGCTGGCCCTTTGCCCGTGCTGCTCTGCTGCAGAGCAGGGAGGGGTCGCTCAGGGCGGGGGCTCACATCTCCTCAGAGTGCCTGTCCTAGCTGAACGTCAGCTAGCTAATGGAGTCAGGTCAGAAGGAGGTGTCACAGAACGATCTCACTGCAGGGCCATCTGAGCTGATAGCCTAGTGCAGGTGGAGGTGGCTCCTAGTTCTATTTAGCCCTCTTTCAGGGTGCTTTATTTCCACCATTCTGCTTGTTTATAGTGTTTCTGGTCACCTGCATGTAAGTGTTTTCAGGTATGTAGCAGTAGGAGTGCAGTGGGGATAGAAACAAAAATGAGCAGAAGCTAGCTGAGACTTCTTTTATCATGCAGCCTATTGCAGCCTTGCAGTTCTGTTCAATATGATTCCACTGCTCTCCTGTGTTTGTTTCTGATGGTGCTGAAGGGACGATACACAGGATTCTTATCTCTCAAATCAGTTTATCTGGTGTCCATACAGTCACACTGGTGTAAACTGGGGTGAGCCAAGTTCAGCGTTGGGCTGTCTGTATGCAGTAGTTTGTTTATGGGCCAGATGGCTGATAGAACCCTGTCTGTGATGATGGACTGGAGTTTGAACAAGTGCTGGCCAGCTTAGCCCTTTGATCTCATGAACCAATGCTACTTGCCATGGAGGTATTGATGGCAGAATAATAATGCCATTAAAGAGGGTATTGAAAAAGTAGGGTGAGGGGTGGAGGGGGGCTGAACAAGATACTGCTCTGTAGCAGTGACCCCACTGGCATCCTGTCCTAGCTGCTGTCTTCCCATGGGAATAACACATAACATGGCCATGGTTGTGTCCACCACTACACTCAAACCAAGAGCAAATATTCATCTCGGTTTCAAGCCATCATGATTTTTAACCATGTTATTCTTTTATTTCAGGGATACTCCAAAACCATGGGAGGCTTTGTAAAACTAGGATTAATTAACCCAGATCCTTATCCTTTGCTAAGTTCAACCTCGTCGCCTCTAACCTGGGTGAGTTACTGTGATTACTCTGCCTTCTTTCCTCTGTTTTTGTAATGAATTCCTTATTGCTAGGTTTGGGTGTGCTTAGCAATGGGAATCTATGCTTTTTGTTCCTGGAAATTAGGAAGATTTTCTTCAGCATAAACGTAATACAGTGCTGGAACAGGTTCTCAGAATGACTCTGGAGGCTTTCAGGACTTAGCTAGGCAAAGCTGCTGCTGACTTGAGTGCTGGTCGTACTTCTGCTTCAAGTAGGGTGTTGGGCTACGTGACCCTCAGTGGTCCTGTAAATATTTTTATGCATTGTCTTGAATTTTTCTGTTATTCAAAATCCCCAGTGCCTTAAGTTTGCAGTGTCCACACTGATACTGGCCCACGATCTTCGGTGTAAAAGTATTGTTTAGAGCATCACGAAGTAAGAGTTCATGACTAAATGAGTATATTACAATATTTTTTTTCCTGTTAAAACTCTTTGCAAGCTTTTTTTCCTTTGTGTTCTGTTATGCTGCTTTTCTGTCTTGCTTACTGATGCCTCACTTCATCTTAATCTTCGCCAAGGTATGACTCTTTCATGTCCTGCTGAGACATTTGATAATCAACATTTTGGTTGTATCTGTGGGCAAAGCAGGGAATTTCATATTTTGGTTTGGTGTAGAGAGCTGGAGTGAAAAACAGATTACTACTTCTCAGGTCTGTTTTTCTGTTGTGTGAGAAATTTTTCTTCCATTTTGGAGAAAAACCCTAAGAAAGTAGCTTTGTTTATTACTTATGTGAACAAAATTTAGATTTGTATTCAGTTTCCTTCCTTGTGCTTTTATCAGCATTAACCTGGAAAAAGACAACAGGCTTGGGCTGTGTGATGGTCTGAGGATAGCACAGTGTGTTTCTGATAATGCCATTACTGCAAGTGAAGAATGTCTTGAGTGTTCTCAAAACCAAGAAAGCACAAGGTGAAGAGGCTCAGTCTTGTGTATCTGTGATCAACATCCAGCACTGTTCATCTTCCCAAACTCCAGAAGATTTTGGGCTACTGTATGGGGACTAACTTGAGGTTTTTTAAGACAATTTTTGTCCACTTTCATTTCAATTTTAGGGTTACGATCTTTAAGTTTTCTTTGCAAAGATGGCTAGAATTTCCAGCCCTTCCAGCCTCAGTGAATAAGTACACAGTGTCCTGTAATCTGTGAAAATACCTTTAAACTCATTAGTCTCAGTGCAAACTTTGTCTCAGCAATGCTGTTACATCTTCGTGCTTTCCCTGCCCGGGAAGCAGAGGAGATAGGCTAAACTGAGCTTTTAAATAGACTCTGCAGTTCTTGCTTGCTTCATATCTTGGTCATAGCTCTGGTGGTTATCCATCCTGCTCTGAATGAAGCAAGCAATAATTTGCATCTGGAAAGCACAAAATGGCCTTCAGATATGCACAAAAGTCTTCAGAAAGCTTTTGGTAGTGCTCTCAGGATTGCCAGAGCCTTAGTCAGCTCATCAGTCTGTTTTCTTCCTTTTGAAAGGGACATTCTCAATTTCTAGACCAGCTGAAAGATATCCTTAAGGTCTTGATTCTCTGGCTGTCTCCAGAGTGTCTCTTTCACCCTAACATCCTCCCCGTGTTGCCTTGTTCATACAGATTTCTGTACTCTTTCATCACTGCCAGAGGAAAGGATAAGACTAAAAAGTAGGGGGGAGCAGCTGAGTGGTGGCATACAAAGTGTTTTAGGAGAAGATGACCCCTGTTCTCACTTGTTGCAATTAAAAATTTCAAACTATCTCACTTTCCCTGTACACCTAACCTCCCTTCTCAGGAGTCCTGGATATTAACTGAGCTTATTGGAGCAGTATGTTCTCAAAACCTCAGTTGAGAAGGAGTGGGCCTGACAGATGTCAGGCCTTCAGGAATTTTTTTCTTTTCTTTTAATACAGAAAGAGCTCATGTGCAAACTGGTTGGAATTAAGCCACCTGCTGAGTACCATGTTCTTAAAGAAGCTGTATTTAGCAAACTGGAAAAGGACAAAAGTCAGCTGGAGGCAGTGGAATGGTAAAACGTTCTAGTGATTTTTAAAGATTAAAAAAGAAATATTTTTTTTTTCAATTCTACCCATTTTTGGTCCTTGTTGAGACTGTTAGACTGGTACGCTGATGAAGCTGGGAGTTACAGAACTGAGACTGAGTGGTTTATGGGCAATGAGGTAAGTCTGTCTCATTTCTTCTGCCAGGCTAGGTTTACTGGGAGATGAACCAGTTCCAGCAGCAGATTCCATTGTGGGGGCTCTTGCAAAGCACATGGAGATGAAGCTGCCCTTTGGTATGTGAGAAATTCTTCTTTTTCATGGCTTTGAGTGGAACAAGTCAATATCTCTTCTTGTATTAGTTTGTTCACCTTCATTAATAAGCCTTCTTGTTAGTTTTTTTTCCCCGTCTTGTGATCTTTACTCCCCCAGTTTATTCTTTTTGTTCCCTGTTACATTTTTAGTTTCATTTCAATGCATTTTTTTATTTCTTTTCAATATTCTGCCCTCTTTAGTAGTCCCCATCTTAAGTCACTTGTCTGATACACGTGCTCTCAGTGCAGAGTACCGTGCTCATCAGGAACCCCATCTTGGCAGGACTGAAATACAAGTAATAATACTTTGTGTGCTTTTCTCTTAGGCACTGGAGAGAGAGATATGATTGTTATGAGAAATGAAATAGGTCTCAGGCATCCTTCTGGTCATTTGGAAGACAAATTTATCGATCTGGTTGTCTATGGTGACAACAAAGGATATTCTGCGATGGCCAAGACAGTGGGATACCCCACAGCTATTGCTGCTAAGATGGTTCTAGATGGTAAGTGGCTGTTCAGACTTCAGTAACAGTATTTCAACCCTCTGTCTTCCTGCCTGTGGAAGGCAGATATGTAGTGTTTCTGAAGTGTATATGTGGATAATTTTTTTAAATTTATCAAACTTTTCAAACTTACAGGAAATTTTAATGTGTGTATGTTTGGCTGTTTCAATGACAACTCTTAATTTACTGCATCCTCTATAGAGAATTGTGGTCATTTAATCTTAGATGTTTCACTGTTGTAGAGGAGACCTCTAGCATGCTAAATTGCAATTGATTGTGCCACAGTGAAGCAGGCTAACAAATACCTGTGCTGAACAAACTAGTGACTTGCACTACTGCTTTCTGGATTGATGGAATTTGAGGCTTGGGATGTATTACCTGATCATGTTTTGTCTATATATAAGCAGGCAGACTCTGCCTGGTCATCACCATGTTTAAGGAAATAGTGTGATTTCCCCTTGCTTGCTCTTAATCTTTAGAACTTCATTCTTCTTCTGGCTAACTGAAATGAGCAAAAAACTGCAGGGTTGGTTTGGGGTTTCCTTTGTTATTTAAAAAAACCCCAAAAAACAGCCCAAATTTTTGACATTTAGATGCTTTCCACCTAGCTGCAGTTTCACAGCTCTATAAATTAAAGTCAAGCTGTGTGAGCTACTGTGTTTCAAACTTCTTTTTCTTTATTTTTTGATACAGTACTGTTGCTGTATGAGAACATAATACCAGGGATGATAAATCTGCATATATATGTGTGTGTTTAAAAAATAGAAACCTGAAAATTTATATAATTGCAAATTGGTATTTGCATTTGTGATGACTTGACCTTGGCTGGATCCCAGGTGCCCACTCAGCCATCCTCTCGCTACTCCTCCTCAAGAGGACAGGGAGAGGAAACAAGATGAAAAAAATCATGAATTAAGATAAAGACAAGGATGTCACTTGCCAGTTACTGTCACAGGCAAACCAGACTTGATTTTGGGGAAAATTAATTTCGTTTATTGCCAATTAAAATAGGTTTGGATAGTGAAAAAAAAAAAAGAAAAAGACAAATTAAACCACATTCCTCCTGCCCCTTTTTCCCAGGCTTAACTTCACTTCTCCATTCCTGACTCAGACACTTCCTCTGCTTCACGCAGCACAGAGGGATGATGGAGGTGGGGGCTGTGGTCAGTCCCCAGCAGCTCCTCCCTGCTGCTCCTTCCTTCTCCTCTGCTGCAGGGCAATCTCTGCTCCAGTGCCTGGAGCACCTCCTCCTTGCCCCCTTCTCTGGAATTGGTGTCATAGGGCTGTTTCTCACACTTTTTCCTCACTGCTGTGCAGTGCTTTGCCCTCTCTGAACTCTGTTTTCCCAGAGGTGCCTCCGTGTTGGGGGAGGGGCCCTTCCCTGGGGGGGGGGTCGGTTGGACCAGCTGGAGTTGGCTTGTCCAGCCCAGGGCAGCCCTGGCCTCTCCTCACAGAAGCCACCCGCCAGACCCCGTTAGCAAAGCCTTGCCAAGGAAACCCAGTAAACCCTTCTTTCCCCTGCCTTTTGTTCCAGGTGAAATAGATGCCAAGGGCATGGTTCTACCACTGACAAAGAACGTTTATGGACCAATACTGGAACGTGTGCGGGCAGAAGGCATCGTGTACAGCACCCGCAGCCTTATCAAACAGTGACTGGGAGCAGTGCAGGCATTTGGGCTTGGGATTTATTTGCTGTGCTCATCCCCCTCTTTTGGGAATCTCGGTTTGGACCAGCTAAAGGCAGCACCTGCCATTTTGCACTCAGGTGATGCCTTCCATAAAACCAGTCAGTCAGTCACCTGACTTTGGTGTAGAAATTGTAGATACCCAGATGCATAAACTGTGGTATTTTCCTCTTAACTGTTACACTTTCATGTACATGGTTTAGCATCAACCAGATCTTTCCTTATTTCTGTCCTAAAATATCTTGGGAGGGTTTGGTTTTTGGTTAATAGAGTTTATCTTCTAAGTGTATAGGGCTACTATTGGGACAAAGTATAGGGTGATTACTGAGACAAAGGTAAACTGACAGAAAAAATCTTTATTGAATTCTTTCATAGTGGAAAAGTGTGTTTAATGAATTCCATTCATTAAGTTTAATCATACAGTAAAAATAATTTATCAGAATAACAGAGATGAAAGTGATACTTAAATTTTAAGCTTTGTCTCCCTTTTCCTTTAACAGTATTTGTGAATGTTTTCACGATAACAATATGCAAGAAATAGTTCAGAAATCCTGCACTACTAGCAAATAAGATCCTGATAAATCTTGAAAATTATGTTTTTAAATATTTGAAACCTTGATCTTAATAATTTTGAAATCCTTTTCTTACGACTACGAAAAATGAGTTGGAGGAGGAAGGAAGTTTGAAGCAAGCCTCCCCCATGGGGTTTCCTGGTCCCGGGTGGGAGCAGCTTGCAGCGTGTTGAAATGCCTCCTGTCGGGCAGTGCCCGCTGCTGCTGTGGGGAGGGCACGTCAGCATTCAGCTCTGCAGCTGGGAAGGGCAGTCTCAAATACAACACAGTTAATGTGCTTAGCAGCTGCTCCAAATGGCATGCTTCCTCCTTCCACTTACACTGTGTGCCTTGTCCAGGTTAAGGACTGTTACAAAGGGAATAGACTGTGTAGTGTAAGCAGCTTTGAAATGCAGTAGGCTTAGAGATTTAAATCACTGCTTTTTGAGTTAGCTTCTGTCCTTTTGCTGTCACGCTGCTGAGGTGTTCTTTGGGAGCCTGTCCATGCTACTCCGTAAGGGGCCGCTTCAGGCCGACGAGAGCCGGCCGCTGTGCCAGCTCACCTGGTGCCAACATGGACGTGCCAGCCTGGCTCCGGAGCCTGGTCAGTCCTGTCAGCCCAGAGCTGAGCTTCAGCCTGAGGGCAGCTTCTCTCTGACAAAACAGCAGTTGCCTCCTTCCAGGTCAGGGCTGCTTCTGTGGGTTTTGCTCAGGGATTTCTACAGCACCTTGCCATGTAGGCATGGCTTAGCCTTCCCCCGGGAGGCCTGCGAGCTGTGGGGCCCTGGGCACACACCGGCACCCGTGCAGCCGCCCGGAGCTCTGCGTCTGCACAGCCCAGCCCTGCGCCGGGAGCTGGCTGCCTGCAGCTCTGCCACAAGCACACTTTGCTGGGACACGCACAGCCTTTGGCCTCTCGGGGAAGCATCGTGCTGTGATCAGGGTCCCCAGGGGCTGGAATTCCAGGTGTTGCTCTGCCCAGTAGGAAAAGCAGCCCTAACAATGAAGTTTTGATCTCCAAATCTTGCTACTCAGGGTTTGGATGTTTTTTGTTTGTATGTAATGAAGTAGCAACTGCTACAAAGAGGAGGGTGAAAGGAGGGAGAAGGAAGAATGAAGGGCAAAGTATTACTGTCAGAGGAGAGCTTTTTATACTGAACCACTGAATGTTTTTATTTTTATCTGTCAAATTTGGATTCTGTTACAGTGCTATGCCTGTTACAAGTGTCAGATGAAATCCTGGCTCCACTGAGTTGCTTTGCTTCCCACTGGCCTTAAAGGCTGTTGGTTTGTTGTGTGGCTGGGTTGTGGAGCTGGGGTAGGGATGGGGCCTGCAGTGAATATTCTGCTCTCTGCTGCCTCCTCCTGCCCCTGGTAGGTTAAAGGCCTACAACTAAGGGTTAAAGGTAGACTTTGTATGTGCTGGTCCCTTCCAGTCCAATGCTTGGTGAGACCAGGATTTCACTTGAGAATTCTCTGTTTCCTCCTTTACCCCACAAATACACACCAAGAAGTTCTGATTCTGTAGGTATGCATGCACCTTGCTGGCTTTTCTGCCTAGGAAATCCAGTATGCAAAGAACATTGGAATTTTTAATAAGTATGTAGTCTCTTTGGAGCACAGAAAGGAGCACTACAGATTTTTTCTCCGAGAAACACTACTACTATTTTTGAAACTTTTTGTATCAGAATATATTTGTTTCCCAGTGCAATGCTGCTTTTTGAAGTTTAGACTTAAATGAATTTATTGCTCAGCTTTTGTATGAAGATTATTTCATTTCTTTTTGCATATTATTGAAAAGGTAATTGTATCTTATACACAAGGTTGCTTGAAAAAATAAATCTGAAAGCCTGTGCTTCATTGTCATGTCATCTTTACAGCCTGATGAGATGTATGTGGATGGGATTTGTTTTTTTACGTGGATGGCTATATTGAAAGGGTGTCTACACATGGACTTCTCTAGGTACATGAAACACCTTCCCATACTTCTTGCTAGACTCACAAGAGAAGACTATTCAAGTATTGTTTAAGCATCCACATCTAAGGCCCATATATAAATTTACAGACATATATATCTGTACCTAGACACCATCTTCAGCCATAATCTTAAGAGATGCAATATTTTAGAACGCTTTGTGCTGGGGCACAAGGACAACTACTTAACTGGAAAGGTAGAGATCAGTAGCTGTGTAATATCTCAAAGAAAAAAATATAAACCTGGGGTACAGTGCTTGTAGTTAGGCTGGAAAACTAACAAGAGGAGGGGGAGGAAAAAAATAAATGTAGCTTTGAGTGTGCAGCAGAATTTCTCGAGGCCAATCAGACTATCTCAAACACACTGCGGCTGAATTACGGTGCACAGGCTGTGACTTACCTGAAACAAGGGAAGTCCCTAAGCCACCACAGCACAAACCCGTGGAACGACGTGTCAGCCCTTTGCCTTGCTGCAGGGAAATGATGGAAACCACAACTCTGACCTAGGGAGCCTCAGACTGCTGGCAGTAGTTTTTAACCCCAAAAAGAGAACACAGCTCCTCTCCTCCCCAGCCCTGCTCTGCTTATGCTTCAGAATAATTGGAGAGGAATGAGTTTAACTTTGCTAAACTCAAAGTAAGTGTTTCCCACAGAAAATTTCAACCCATCTGAAATAGCATGCATTGTGCTAGGACGTAGCAATGGACTGTGCCAGGTAAAGCACTGTGCTAAAACATTGCTAACTAGTTCAGTCAACTAGTTTTCCAAGTCCATACTAAGGTCTCTAACTACTTTACTGTTGTGCTGACAGCTGTGAGTTTGTGTGACTTTCAGTCATCATTTATTGCTGACTTTGTAAAGCTTTTCCATGGGTATTAAATCACATCACCAGAATCACTAAAAAGATGGAATGTTAATAAATGGTGGTTTTGTTTGTTTGTTTGTTTAACTCTCCACTCGCCTACGATTTCTTAGGAGGAAGCTCAGTAATCAGGTTTTCATTGGCGCATTACTTATCAGCTTTGTAAAAAAAAATCTTAAACTGACATTGTTTATTAATATCCTGCTTCTTGCAGGAGATACATAACGTCTTTTCCACACTTGACCCAGTTTGAAAAGGCAAGCTCTGTGTCTTTTGAGTCTGTAGCTTGGATTACAAGAAAAAAATTAATTAGAATATGGCCTTTGTCTGAGAGAGGAACTGACACGCGTTTATTAAAATCTGTAATCCATCACGGTTGAAGATTATAGAAGATTTTTTATGATTCTTATTTTTTCTAGATCAGAACCAATATGTGCGAGTAAAGAGATTATCCTAAGCACTTATGTTTTAAATAACTTGTCAGCATGCTAAGATGATGAATGTGATTGCAAACATCTCTGGAAGAAACCTTGAATGACAGCTGATTCCTTGGATTATCATTTTAAAATGTCTGCAAAACATTTAGGTTGAAAGGAACAGTTGTTTCAAGATGGGATTTTAGAATGGATTCCTTGTTCACTTTTGCTCCACAGAGATTTGAAAAACATACATAGAATTAATTGGCCTAAAAAAGACTTTGCATACACAGCTATATGGATCTGTAAATACATTAACAGAAGACAGCAAAATAAAAAGCATGAAGTTATGTGAGGCTACAAGCCTGTTTTCTTAAAGAAAAGACTGGAGAAGTAGCACATGAGCATTGGTCTCTTCTCCCAAATTTCTGATGATAGGATGAGAAGAAATGGCCTCGAGTTGCACCAGGCAAGATTTTGATTAGATATGAGGAAGAATTTCTTCACTGAGAGAGTGGTCAGGCAGGGGAGCAGGCTGCCCAGGGAGGTGGTGGAGTCACCATCCCTGGAGGTGTTCAAAAAACGAGTGGATGTAGCACTTGAGGCTATGGTCTAGTGGTTAGGGAAATGTTGGGAGGAAGGTTGGACCTGATGATTCTGGAGGTCCTCCCCAACCACGGTGATTCTGTGATTCCAGTTTCTTACATTGTGTGCTAATGTGGTGAAGAGCAGAAGTAGATGGCAAGCAGATTATGGAATATGGTTTGCGAATGGCCATAAGATGACAGTTAACCTCTCCCATATGGGCACCTCTACAGATAAAGGAAGGAAAAATCGTGCCTATGTTTTTGGAATGAGAGAGAGAATTATATAATATTGCCATCCTCGTTAGCCTAGATGTGCAAGTGGAGGGTGTTGGGTCAACCTGAGGGCTTTAGAGGAAGTGGTAAGGAACCCCCAGACCACCTGGAAAAAGAAGATAGTCCCTCCCTCAAGGAGAAATGGTTGCACACCTCTGTGTACACCAATTTTGTGCCTGAAAGCTGTGAAGAAAGTGCACGTGTAATTCAACAACGCTATAAAAATGTGTATTGTTTGGGACAATGAGCCCACTCTGTACATCTGTAAGTCATTGCTGCCCCAAAATAGCACAAATATAATAATA